TATCATTATCATTTAACTTAACACAATTAACTAGTGTCACTTGAATTAAAGTTTTTAAATTTTGGATTGAATTATTTGTATTCTTTCATTTATCTTTATACAATGAAATAAAATTTTTATTTTTAAATTAAAATTCTCATCTATTTTTAAGACGCGTGACTTCATCTTTATGTAATAGTTCTTTTTGGAATTATTTCAAAAACTTCCTTAAAGATTTTCTTAATTTTTTTTAAGATAATCTTTTAGTTTATCCTTTCTTAAATTCGAGTATTTGCATATTTGTTTTAACTTTTTTCTTCCTAAATTCAAATATTTTGAATTAATTATATATATATCTTTTGCGTAATTTTAAAATTTTCTCTTTTTATCTATATTTTTCAAATTTTCTCTGAAATAATTATATATACGTACGACACATGCATAACGCTAATTCTTTTGTAATGGATTCGTACAATTTTTTCCATAATAATCTAGGTACAGTACATGCATGATACCGATTTTCATATCATATTCTAATAATTTCAGTTTTTTTAATTACACTTGTTAATTATATTTTAAAATTTATTGAAATTTAAAATATCACTATAATGAACAGGGTACTCGTAAACTTTTTAAGTATAATATAAATTTATGTTCAATATTGTAGCATGAAAATATAAACTTTAAAGAACATGAGTAGACAGTAATTCCCAGTGTTTTCGAGATTTCAGTAAATTTTAATCCAAGCATGCAATAATATTTCATATAGCTAATAATAATTTTGTATATTTCTTCTACGTTAGGTGCATCTATAAAAAATTGGAGAGTTATTGGATTCTTCTACAATATATATATATATATATATATATATATATATATATATATATATATATATATATAGGGTTCGCTTTTTCTGCAGTTATTGCAGATAAGTTATCTGCAGTAAGCCCAATACGACGTTGCTTTGTGGCAGAAATCATGGTGTTTTTGTAATTTTAATTTATGTCAGGGTTATTATAGTCTTTATAACTATAATTTTCTAATTTTTCAATCCCAAAACGGCGTCGTTTTGGAAGTAAATGCAGATAACTTATCTACATTAACTGCAGAAATATTTTTTTGATATATATATATAGGGAGATGTTATACTTAGTACTTTTTTTACTACCTCTTATTACAAAATCTTGACCGTTGATTTTTGTCAATTTAACGATTATAATTTACTGGTCACATTTATTAATTAATTATTAATTTTCAATAAATTATAATAGTAGATTGACGAAAACAGTTAAGATTTGGTAGTAAGAAAAAAATATAGTAATATATAGGGAGATGTTATACTTAGTACTTTTTTTTTACTACCTCTTATTACCAAATCTTAATCGTTGATTTATGTCAATCTAACGATTATAATTTATTGATCACATTTATTAATTATTTATTAAATTTCAATAAATTATAATAGTAGATTGACGGAAACAGTTAAGATTTGGTAATAAGAAAAAATGTAGTAATATATAGGGAGATGTCATACTTAGTACTTTTTTTTTACTACCTCTTATTATCAAATTTTAACCGTTGATTTATGTCAATCTAACGATTATAATTTATTGGTCACACTTATTAATTAATTATTAATTTCAAATAAATCATAATAGTAGATTGACGGAAACAGTTAAGATTTGGTAGTAAGAAAAAATGTAGTAAGTATAATATTAAATATATATATAGGATAGGGCTTATCGTTTCTCAATTTGCTGGAGATAATTTTATCTCCGGCTAATAAATCATAACCGTACAAAGATGCATCAATGATAATGAAGGAAGAGAGAGAAAAAGGGAATCATAACCATTCAAAGGTGAATCAATTAACATAAGAAAAAATAAATAAATAAAACAACGTAGTTTTGGGGTGGCCGGAGATAAACTTATCTCAAGTTGTCGGAGAAATGTTTTTCCCTATATATATACATATAGACACACACACACACGACAAAATGAATTGTAATATGATTGCATATGAGCATTGATACAGTAATCTAAAAACTACGTCGTTTTGGGTGAGATAAAGAAAGTTCATGTTCAAAATTAACTGTAGAAAATGGAAATATTATATTTATTTCTACATTTGTATGGTTATGATCTCTCATATTAAATGCTTTATTATGGTAGTAAGAGATAGTAAGAAAAAATGTAGTAAGTATAACATTTCATATATATATATATATATATATATATATATATATATATATATATATATATATATATATATATATATATATATATATATATATATAAACATTACTACAGCCACTTTAGATAAGATTATCTACAGCTATCCCAAAAACTACATCGTTTTGATTAATGAAGGGTGTTTTTGTAATTTTGAATAAATTAATGAAGGATGTTTTAGTAAAATGTATATGATAATAAATAAATAAAATTACAGAAACATCCTTCATTAATTCACCTAAAATCACAGAAACACTCTTCATTAATCAAAACGACGTAGTTTTTGGGATAGCTGTAGATAACCTTATATAAAGTGGCTGTAGAAATGTTTACCCTATATATATATATATATATATATAGACACACACACACACAAGTACTTATGTAGTCATTGGAAATAAGTTACTTTCGGTGACCCAAAAACTACGTAATTTTGAATCAATGAATGATGTTTTCGTACTTTTAGAAAAATTAATAAAAGGTGTTTCGTTAAAATTTATATGATAAAAAAAAAATTATGGAAACACTCTTTATTAATTCAAAACGACATAGTTTTATGATCACTGGAGAAATATTTTACCTTATCTATCTATCTATCTATATATATATATATATAGGGAAAAATGTGTGTCATTTTAAAGGATATAAAATTGTGTCATTTTAAAAGAGAGAAAAAGATAGATAAAAGAGGAGAGAGAGAGTTGACAAAAAAAATAAAGGTATGGGTCCTATCTCTTTGTGAGAGTGAAAGGATATAAGTTGTGTCATTTAAAAGTATAAACATTTTTTCCATATATATAAGGATTAATTTTCTGATTTTATATAAGAAAATTTTCTTTTGCTATACACTTAATATATAAGTGTGGTCCAAAAAAAAAAAAAAAAGACAAAAAAAAAAATAAGACCCATTCATGTATTATATTATATATGTAACATGAGAAATTTTTTTCTTTTATGTAAAATGATAAAACTATTTATATATATAAAGAGTGCGGCTTTTTGACCCTTATAACCCTTTATTAATAATTAATTACTAAATTGACCTTCATTATAAACTATTTCGAAAATTTAACCTCCCCAAAAAACATAACACCAATCTGCACCTGTTTGACCGTTGACCATCAAGCCTACCCGGATACACCCCTCCCTACCCGGGTATATTTTGAAATTTTTTACATACCCGGGTAGGGAGGGGTGCACCCGGGTATAGTTCTTGACATCTGAAAAATTGCTTGAATTATTTACCCGGGTAGGGAGGGGTGTACCCAGGTAAATCTCGACCAGAAACCCCAAAATTATTCGAATATTATCTCAACTATTTCAAATATTTATGGCATCTCAATGTGTTGTTATGCACACAACAATTGATCCTCATTGATTGCGCCCCAATAAATACGCTTCATCGTTGCTTGATTTCTGGAAATTATTTTAAAGTTATTTATTTTTGAATTAGTATTTATTTTCTTCTTAATCTGTTACAATTTTGAGATAATATTTGAACGATTTTGGGATTTCTGGTCGAGATTTACCCGGGTACATCCCTCCCTACCCGGAGAGACATAAATTTTTAAAAAATACCCGGATAGACTTCCTGGTCAACGGTTAAATAGGAACAAATTGGTATTATATTTTCTGAAGAGATTAAATTTTTAATATAATTTATAAATAAAATCAATTTAATAATTAATTATTAAAAAAAACTATAGTGGTCAAAACGCCCAAAGAGTAGATAAGAGAACCAGAGTCGGGACCCACGGAAAAGTAGAGCTAGAGAGAGACAAAGTTACGTTATTGTGATTGTTTAATGTTGCTATGGCCTGTAGGCATGCGGTTGGTTGGTTTGTTTGTTTCACCGCTTTTCCGTTAATACTGCGTGCGTTAGAGCGGGTTCACCTTTGACCCTCTTTCTCTCTTACATTAACTCTATCCTTTTTTATTTTATTTTATTTTTATCTTTCACTTTTTATTGATTCTTTATTTATTTTATTTAATTTTTGTACGAATTGTTTTTAATTTTTTTTAGGGCAATGCTTTTTTCATGTTATTGGAGAGGAGAAAATTTTTTTACACACTTAAATTCATGATGAGGCCCACACATAAAAAATAAAAAAAACAAAAAAAATCATTACACGTATGACGAACTCTCGATAACATGAAAAAGAGATATCCTACAACATAAGAATTTTTTTATTTTTTTTATCTATTTGATTAAATGCATTAAGATAAGAATGCCAAGCCAAACAAATTATAGTTTAAAATAATTAAATTTTAAATAATAGAAACAACTATTATAATAATAGTGTCACAGAGTTCAGAAGCAAGTACACCTAGACGGGACACCTACACGTCTTTCAAAGTAGTATCTTAGCCTCAGGTACACTTTCCTTTCCTTTGTTTAGCGTCTTTGTATTTTCTTAAAGATAATAGAAAAAAAATGGTTTAAAAAAAAAAGATAATAGAAAAAAAAATTGTTTTTTTGGGTAAACAAATAAATTAAGTTAAATTACATATTAACTCCCCCTTTTTTATATATGGAACTATATCTTTCCCATTATTTCTATTTATTAATTTATTAATTAATTTTATTTCTCAGTCCACCTGTCAAGATAAATTAAAGTTTTTTACCCGGTCAATCCTTTTTTCTATTTTTCTTTTTTAATTGTTTTTATTTCAGGAAGTATTTGATTCCAAGATTCATAGGATTTTACACCTTTTTAGCAATTTGTGGGTTATTTACCTTGGGGTTTCACAGAATTTTGCATACACATGCAAATTGAATTTGCATTTAGGTTTTCTTCACTCTGTTGATTTCTATAGGAATTTTCTTGGGTTAATTCCTTTGTACGCAATCAGAACGTGGGAGCAACCGAACTATCTTTTGCTGCATTGGGTGGGTATTTTGATGTTCTGCATTCATATTTTTTTTTAATTTCTATCTTTCTTTCTTCTTCTTTTTTGCATTCCCTTTTGCTGTTTTGATGGTTTCTTTTTTGGTTCAGTTAGTTTGATAATAGAGAAGTACAAAACTGTTTCTGGGTTGTGTCTCCTTTATCATTTGTGGACTCTAATGATGTTAGTTAAAAGGGTATCTGGTTTTTGTTGCAGGAATACTTATCCAATTAGCCTTTTTTTCACCATAATCTTGCATTAAATGGAACAGTCGAAATTGGCTGCAGAATCTGATGCCCTAAAGGTTGGTTTTTCAAACCCTAGCAATGTATGATTATGTCTTTGTTTCTGAAGCTCATTTTATGCATGTCTGGAGTATTTATATATATATCATGCCCCTCTGTTCGAATCTTCTATCCTCTGTTCTTGTGGATCACAATTGCTGTTGGTCTTATCATCCTCGTTTATTTATTTTGAAAAATTGTTGTCATATTCTTGTGTTACTGTATCCTTTGTTTCTCTTTTCTTGTTCTGCTTACAACCTTGCATTTTTGCTGGCAGGAGCTATTGTTGTTTAACACTTGTAGTTTAGTTGATGAGCCAATTTCTGCTGTTCAAAAGGATGATGTCAATTTTTTAATTCACTCATATCTTAAACCCTTAATATTTTTTTGTATGCTATATGGGTTCTTTCTTTCATGGGGTTTGAAAAGATTAGAAATTTTCATCTAGGTGGTGTGGAATAGTACTTCCTTTGTTTGGTTTTTTGGGATAGCCTACATCTGGTATTAGTATCTTCAATGGTCATCTCTTTCTCTCGCTCTCTCTTTTCTTTTTTTTTAGTTCAAGTTTATTATTTGGTGTCATGTTTTTTGTTACTAAAGGATTCCGGTTAAAACTTCAGCCTAGATTGGTGAATGTTATGTTTGACCTCAATCACTGTTTTCTTTTATGGAATTTCTTTCTTATCCGAAGTGATGGGGGTAGCAACTAGCAACTATTAAATTAATTTAAAAAATTTGCATTAGATACCTCCCACATGGATGAAAAATAGTAGGTAATACCTTCTCAATGTTTGTTGAATTTTCCAATTCTTGATTTTTCAATCAACGGGGAAGTATCCAATCTCATAGGTGCTCCTTTGAAGTGTTTACCACTGTTGGGAGGTAGAACTTATTAGAACTATCAAATATGATAAGCTCAAATTTTGTGAATCCTTCAGTTAACATTTCATTTGTTGATGCCTTAAATTATGAAGCTAGCAATAGTCACCTAAAAAAACTTCAGCATAAGTTTGGCCACTGTTTTGGTTTTGCATTTTATACACAATTTTTGTTTCTATATTATGGCACAACCCAATACTCTTTTGATTCTGAGCCTTCTCCGATCTTGCTGTTCTACTGAGTCTAGACTGCTACTATTCTAATCTGTTTACGTCTAACTCTGGAAATTTCTTTGAGGAAGCTTATGTGATCAGAGAGGTCCTCCTTGCAACTTAAGTCAAATATAAGACTTGTTTCTGGTATCAGCTACTAATACCCAACCAGTATAAGCAAACAAAGGACCTTAAATTTTTATAACTTATTTTGGGATATTAGATTGGACTTATTCTGTGATTGGGTTACTATTCTGTTTTTAGTAGGAACTTTGGAATTTGACTCATGATTTTGAGTTTTTGTAATATGAATGCATGACTATATCTATTATATTTTAAAGTTTGATTTTCGTGTTCAAATTCATATATAATTTGCTGTTGGGCGTACTTTTGGTGCATTTGTCGCATTCATATTTTCTATTTGCTACAGCTTGATCTCTTTGACATTAAACTGTTTTGTTTGTACCAAACCCATTGGCAATATTTGGATTGTAATATCCATGATTACTTTTAGTGAGGCTGCTAATTTTTACAAATTTAGCATTCTTACATATTTTTCAGGATAATCCTTTTAGGCCCAAGCTAAAAAATAGCAATGCACTTGAGTCTTTTGGCAGTCTGAGAAGTAAAAAGGTATGTAGTATGGTCTGCCATGTTGAGTATGCTTAATGCTTTGACGATCCATGAACAATACTTTGTATTTTTCTTGCTCTTCTTCGGATCAAATAGGAACCACTTGTTTGAAATTTTAATGGAATTAACATTTGAACACCATGTACTTTAATTTTTTCTAGGTATTTTCTACTGCCCCTCTTCCCCTCCCCTCCGTTTCTCAAAATAGATAAACTTCTTTAGTATGAGTGTTCAAAATAACAAGCAATCAATACTTATCTTGATGACCATGTGGTGAGTCTAACTTGAATCATCTAATTCCATCCTATTCAAAGAATAATGGTATACTCAGATGATTAAATTAGGTTTTTTAAACAAATTTCTTGTAGTATAGAAGAAAAGAATGTTTTAAAAGTTAGTGAATGATTATTATATAAATAGGGGGAGAGAGAGAGAGATTTGATTTTGTCTATTCTGTTTTCATATGTTGATTATTGTTGTCATGTTGCAGATATCAGCTAGATGGGATCCAGTTGAAGCATGTCGGCCTATTATTGATGAAGCACCTGTGTTTTATCCGACTGTTGAAGTACTTGTTATTATTACCATCTTCATATTGTTGCTTTTGTGGTAGTCATATTGTATTTTGGGTAATTTTGGTTTCTTATTTTTACTCTTCTTATTTAGGAGTTTGAAGATACACTCGGTTACATAGCAAAGATACGTCCGCATGCTGAACCCTATGGCATATGTAGGATTGTCCCTCCACCTTGCTGGGTTCCACCTTGCCCTCTTAAGGAGAAGGATCTGTGGGAAAATGCAAAATTTCCCACCCGTATTCAGTATATTGATTTACTTCAAAATAGGGAACCTATGAGGAAAAAAAGTAGGGGAAAAAAACGAAAACGGAGAAAGCACTCCAAAACAGGCACATGCAGGAGTCTTGCCAATTCAGCTTCTGGAGCTAACAATGCTTCTGAATCTGATGAGAAATTTGGATTTCAATCAGGGTTGGACTTCACGCTTAAAGACTTTCAGCAATATGCTAATTTTTTTAAGGAATGCTACTTTGGTTTGAAAGATACCAATGAAGATGGAAAACTTAGTGATAGTAACCACCAAAAGAGAGGGGAGCCCTCTGAGGCGGAAATTGAAGGTGAATACTGGCGAATAATTGAGCAACCAACTGATGAGGTTGAGGTATTAATCATCGCTTTTTGACAACTATGTTGGTCTTTACTGTCACATAATTTTGCAATAGTATACATATTATTTTGTTATATTGTAGGTGTATTATGGAGCTGACTTGGAAACTGGAGCACTTGGAAGTGGTTTTCCTAAGACATCATCCTTAACTAAGAGTGATTCAGATCAGTATGCCCTGTCTGGATGGAATCTAAATAACTTCCCGCGACTGCCAGGTTCTGTACTAAGTTTTGAAGGAAGCGACATCTCAGGAGTTCTAGTGCCATGGCTGTATGTTGGCATGTGCTTTTCATCATTTTGCTGGGTAAGTGGTTAGAATTACTTTTTTCCCATGTCAAAGGCAAAGTTTAAGACTGACATGGAATATTACCAATTTTCATTTTGCCTCAATTCTTTGTATGTATCTCTTTGTAGAGTGTTATATGAGTTTAAGTTAATTTTCATGAAAGATGGGTTGAAACTTTTAACTTTCGTTGTTTATTTTAGAAAATTTATAATTTTGTTAAAAGTATAAATGACACAATAAATATCTAGAAGTAACAGAGATTATAGAGGGGATAATTGGTTCATGATATAGTATTAGATCCTTTAAAACCAAGTGGTCTTGAATTCAATCCTTATTGCCTCCATTCTTCTATTAAAAAAGGAAATTTAGTACAAGGTAGGTGGACTGGTCGATTAGCCATGCTTCAACCCGAAATGGTTTTTGTGTGAGGAGACATGTTAGAAATGTAATATAAAACCATTCATGTGTCTTCGCAACTTAAGTTTTTGGGATAGTTGATTCATGACAATATGTCGTGGTCTTGAATTTTGCATTTCTTTCATTTCAAATCCTAACATTTTCTCGAAAGATAACACACTGTCATTGGAACAGCATGTTGAGGATCATCACCTTTATTCGCTTAATTATCTGCACTGGGGTGACCCAAAAGTATGGTATGGAGTACCTGGATGCCATGCTTCGGTTTTTGAAGATTCAATGAGGAAGAACTTGCCTGATTTATTTGAGGAACAACCAAATCTACTCAATGAACTGGTAGAATGCTACAACTTGTACTTTCCTTATTGCTTTCAATTTTTGACTAGTATTTTGAGTTATTGGTTGCTTTAGTGATACTTTGTTGTTTCCACATAGAGAATTCATGAATGCAATGAGATTTTTGTTGATGCAAAACATATATTCTATGGGTGCAGAGTGCTACGAATGCTCAACGCACTTATGGAAGTTAAGAAAACTATAATCATGATAACTTTTTGATCGGTTGAAGGTGTAATCAGTCTGGTGTAAGATCCCTTTATATGTATGAATGTAAAGTGGAAGCTATAGTAATTAGGTATTAAATTATGAGTAAGAGAGAGAAATTATCAGTTATTATCCCTAAGAACTGAAGCTCACTTTAGATTCTGACCAACTATGCTGCTAGTGTGTTTGGGAAAAAGTGGTGACTGAGAGTTGGCATCATCTTAACGACTTGATGGTTCCTCATGACAAATATCCCTTATGATGCATGCTGTATGAACATAAACTTTCAGCTCTGTTATTGCTGCAGTGATGTTCACTCATATCAATGTGTCTATAACCTTTCCCTCCTTTGGCTGAATTTTGATATTTGTATTTCTACTAATAATGATAACCCTAGTTTATATCCAGAAGTCCCCAGTGCATGTGTTCAGTTCTTATAGAAGTGTTAGATATTTTAGCATTCTATGTACAGTACATAGCTTCTAAGTTTGCGAATTTTATTCTGATTTTAATGGTTATGATTTTCTTCTTTGAGCAGGTTACTCAGTTATCTCCTTCAATTCATAAATCTGAGGGAGTTCCTGTGTATCGTACTGTTCAGCATTCTGGGGAATTTGTTATTACCTTTCCAAGGGCATACCACTCTGGCTTCAATTGTGGCTTTCAATTGTGCAGAGGCAGTGAATGTGGCTCCTGTTGATTGGTTAATGCATGGCCAGAATGCTGTTGAGCTTTACAGTTTGCAATGCCGTAAGACATCATTGTCACACGACAAGCTGTTATTTGGATCAGCAAAGGAAGCTGTACGAGCCCTTGCACAGCTAGCTCTTTTTGGAAAGGAAACTCCAAAAAATTTGAATTGGAGAAGTGTATGTGGGAAAGATGGA